AATCAGAAGCTGGGACATTTTTGCACCATGGACACATTGGAGAATGAATTTCAATCCATAATTTAAATCACCTGATGTCCTTTAACGGGCAAAAAGCAAAAGAGAGCGTTTTCAAAGGTATCGTCGACTAATTTTGTGCTGAAAGAAAAAAGAAAAAGGAAGAGAAAGAGCAGCCGGAAAGCAGATCTGCTTTAGGAAGGAGCCAGAAGGCGTCGATAAACCTGGAAAATAAAAAAGCACAATATCTGACGAAAATTTGAGGGTCAAAATTGAGCGAAAAGAACTGGAATTTTTGCCGAGTCATCCCAATAGGCCAAGATGTAAGGCCCAGGCAGGGGATCACGAATGGGCCAAAAGGGCCAGCTCAGAGACTCAGACACATAAAGTTCTCCTGACAAAAGTCCAAACTGACACAGGAGAAGCGAGTAACTGTCAGTGATGAGCTGCCAGAGTTTTTCAAATGATTATTATACAAGTAAAAAATGTGAATGGATTCAGTTCCTTTTTAAGCTGTCAAAGCAAAAGGTTACCTAACTTCACAGATTTCCAGTCAGACCTGTGTGTTTTTGTGGGAGACAGACGTGCTAAAGCTGTCAACCCTCTCGTGAGGATAAAATTAAACTCTGAGTGGCCTCCATGAGGGACCGAGGGACCAGCGCTGTTCGGTTTTCCTTAAACTCCGCGTTCTCTGCTTTTGTCTCTACGCGTTCCCCTGCTTGGCCCCTCGTCTTTTGTTGTGTCTCCGGCCCTTCTCCTGACGGGGATTTGTCGTCTGGGGCAGGTAGCCGGTGCCAGACTCAACACACACACACACACACACACACACACACACACACACACACACACACACACACACACACACACACACTGGCAGGGGTGCCTGTAACTCATGTGAAGTGGCGGGCACCGCCGGCCTGCCCGCCTTTCATTGTGCATTTCACAGGATTGGGTTAGTGGGGGGGGATGAGTCTGGGCAGTGTTCGAGGACACGGGGACGGTCCGGAGAGTCATGGATGCACATTTAAGGGAGACGGTTCATTTCAGAGACAGAGAAACCACAGCCACAGCCAGTGAGAGCAAACAGAGGGACGCTACTAAATTATAAGAATTATAATGTTGTGAAACAACTGTGAAGCACATCGTTCAGTATTAAGGTTCTACATTGTTCCTCACCAGGTCTAAATACACATAAACTCAGATTAACGACAATGTTATTACATGGTGAACATGTAAGATAAGAAGCCAGAGGTGTAAATGGTAAGAAAAAATGTGAAAAAATTATTTAAAGGCCCCAACAGAAACCTTTAGAACGGCTGTCTATCACATGGCAAATTTTTTTATCCTCCCTTAAGTCCATTGAGATTTCTGTCTTGATTTTGACTCCGTCCCACTCTTTAACTAAGTTTTTTTCAGGCCTTTTCACCCGTCAGGCAAAGGAAGAACCAGCATTCAGAGGTGAGTTCTTTGTGTGTATTGAGGTTTCTACATGTTACAGGTGTATCATACAGCACATGTATACGGGTTGAATACAAAAACGCGCTATACACTTCAAAGGATACAAAGAACAGCATGTACAAAAGCTTATTTAATTATTCAAGTACCACTAACTTCATACTCTGATTCACTTGAGACTTGAAGAAAAAAAAGCATCTGTACAAAAATGTACAAGAACTGTATCCCACGCTGCGACAGACTGAAGGGCCGTCCTGTGGACTGAACAGGTGGACCTTCTATCAGCCTCTAATGTTTGTTACAGAACGTGAGTTTGCCTGGTTTTGCTGTTTTTATGCTGTTTCTGATCAAAATGGCTGCTTCAAGATTTCCAGAATTCGGCATCAACTGCAGGAGTTTTTTTTTCTTTTCTACATTTTACAAATTTTTTTGGCCACACTGTCTAATTAATTAAATCCTTATTAAAACATAGAAATTACAGGCGGACGGGTTTCATTTTTCTTCCACTGGGAGCAATCCAAAGGCCACAATGGGTTTACATTACATTAGAAATCATCCCAAAAATTGCAGGTGCTAACACTTAAAAATCATTCAGAGGAATAGATCTAAAATACAAAACAACAACAACAACAAAATAAACGAACAAGCATTTAAAAAAGATTCTTAAATCAGCGTTTTCAAACGGCTCTGCTTCCTTAACTGCTGTACACGGAAGCGTTGGTCTGAAAAGACGGCGCCTCTCGTAAAGGGAATCCCACAAAGGGGCAAACAAAGGCGGACTCCTCTCTACATCAGCCCTCTTTTAGCTTCAACATTGTACCTTTCACTCATTAACAGGCCTTAACGAGAAGCACAGATTTCTTTTTTGTGTTGTTTTTTAAAAATTATTTAAAAGCTTCTCCGGCCATGAGATGTTCTCTGTGGCTTTGACTCGGCTGTGTGTGTTTTTTTCCAGGAAAAAAAACGGTGACGTTGTTTGGAGCTCCGGCGTCGTCGGCCGGCGTGGCGCCGGAGGGGGGGGATTCTGCCGTGTCAGGGTTTCTGGGGGTCGTACTGCTGGTAGCGGTTCAGCTTGTCGGGGTCGTTGGCGGCCATCTGGGTGAAGTCCTGAAAGATGTCCTGGTAGGTTTCGTCTCCTGTAACGCAGCAAGAAAGAAGCATGAGCGGCCAAAAAGGCCAAATAAAAATAGATACAATTATTTCCCCCTCCTTTCCATCTTTTAACCTAATGCTTTAAATAATAATAATAATCATTTCTCAATAAACTGCTTATAAATTCATCATAGAAATAATCAGTGTCTCAGTACTGTGATGAATATATTGGGGTATGAACTTGTCAGTAACTCCAAAGGAGCTCCAACCAAGCCCAATCAAATGTTGTTATTACACTGTAGTGGAGCTGGTGTGCAGCAGGGTGGAAACATCCAGAGTTTGGAGGCAGCGATAGTGTCGAAGGAGAAGGAAAAGTTGGCCGTACCTGTTAGAGTGTTGGCGTGGCTCGAAACATGAAACAGAACCAGGTAGAAAGAGAAAGAGAGAGAGAGAGAAAGGCAGAACAGAAGAGGCAAATGCTTGAGAGAGTCAGCCGGGCTCTCGGTGTTTGGAATTTCTCTTGGAAAGAAAAGCTTGCAGACATTTTTGATTTCATCAACAACTGTATTGCGTTTAAAGTGCAGGAGTTTATGTACAAAAATACAGTTGTGTTGGCCTCAGCACCCCAAAGAAAGAAACCAAAAAAACAACAGAGAACAGAAGAAAAAGGCACAAGCTCTGGGGTGGAGGAGAGAGAGAAGAGCAAAGCAAATACAAAAACAGAGAAATTTGACATGGAAAAAAATAGAAAGAGAGCAATGAAAAGCTTGTTGCAGAGGAAGAAGAGCCTCATCCTCCGGTTCCCGATCTCAATCTGCTTTTCATTCTTTCAGGTGACCCATTTAAATCGGAGGGGTTAGCCCCCCCCACGTCCACTCCACCTGAGTGTCCCTCTTCTGTCCCTTTATTTCTCTGATGCCCCCCCCCTAAAAATGGGGCTTGCTCGGCTCCTTTTCCGAGCTCAGTCCGCCCTCTGGTGGTCAGCCACCGTAAACGCACAAATCCTAAAAAAAGAGAGACCCTCTTCACACAGAACGACACAATCAGTAACGTCTACACCAGCCAACACACACACACACACGCTCCTGTCGGCCATACTAACTGATCGTCCGTCTATTGCCATTAATTCAAAGTGCTTTGAAGCCCTCTCTCAGAATTCAGGGCAGCATGAAAACAGATGAGGGATGAAACTGGGGTCCGTTCCCATCGTTCGCAGTCCGCAAACTCATCTTGTCTCATGTTCTTTTTGAACATCTAGCTTGTTTTTTTCTTTTTTTTTGCACATCCCCTACACAATTCAGCTAAATAGATCCCGGAAGCCGCACTAGTGTTACTCGGGTAGCTGTGGAGACTCATCTAGACTATTGCACCTAACGCACCGCTGCTACGGGGTTTGTCTATATTTGGGGGAAAAGAAGAATCCACAAACATTCCAGACGACTGATGCAAACGGCGCTGAAAAGGTCCTTCCAGTCGTACAATTTTGGATTTCCCGCTTTTACGGGCCACAAGCGAGCACACGCAACTGACTAAAACCCAGACACAGCATCCTTCCCTCTGAGCTCAGGCTCTGCACGTAGTACCATTTACAACATGTACAGTACGAATGTCTGCCTTTATAAAAAAGAAAACCGCTCTAAAATAGATTATTTTTTTCCTTCTTCTGATCAGACATGTAAAAAACAGCTGGATGCGTCGTGTTTGGACAACAAACAAACAAGTAAACAGGCCTCGTTAAGACTAAACAGGAGAAGGGTACAGCAGTTGCATAACCATGAACAGGAATGTGCATAAATCATTTCTGACATGTCAACTGAGGAACGAAGCTGATCGGACCATAGAAAATACCATTCAGGAGTCTTGATTATTGCCAGTAACTGGTTCAAACTGCCGTCCCTTTGAGGTCCGAGAGTCACTGAGAACTGGTGGCAGTTAGTGTTTTTTTTTTGTTTTTTTGCAAAGATATTGTGACTGTTAGATACTTATTAAAACAACTATTTTAGTTTAAAAAAAACAACAACACAGTTTTAAATAGCTGCTATAAATAACCGAACACCATCTAAAACCAGAAAGTTGTACACGGGACGCGAAAGATGAGCGAAAAGGAAAGACCAGCTCGTGGAAGGCGACGCGGGCTCCTCCGGTTTTGTGCTAATCTGAGTAACAGTCACTTCAAGGAAAAGCTGGAACCCCTCGGCGAAGTCCAGATCTGATGGCTTTAACCCCGTTACAGCACCCGACGCCCCCCCCGCATCGGGTGCAGAGCTGGTGCGGCTCCAGACGCCCCCAGACAGAGTTGGGATCGGCTCAATGGGGGGGGGGGGGGGGGGGGCCCCCCGGGGGGCCGCCCCGTTGGGCCACCCCAACCCCACCCCCCCCCCCCCCGGGGGGGGGGGGGGGGGGGGGGGGCCCCGGGCCCCCCAGGAGGGGGGGGGGGGGGGGGGGGGGGGGGGGGGGGGGGGGAGACCCCGGAGGTCTGCGCCGTTAGCTGAACCCAAACCCAACTCTGACCGCCTCAGCGTGGCGGCTCTACTCGGACTCGTCCAGCTGCAGGCTAATGAACTCCTGCATGCACTTCCTGTACTGCATCTCGGTGGGGCTGTTGGAGTTATATTGACCTGACTGGCTGTAGGGCCCCTCCGCCTCCCGCATCTCCTCGTTCATCTTGGCCAGTCGCAGTCTGAGGAGCACAGAAAAAACACTCACGCATGGCCCCAGAGATGACACTTCTCAGACGTGCAAGTGTTGTGAGAATTTTTATAAGAGCTGTGGGGGAATCCACTCTTTGGAGTGTGTTAGCTTGATTTAGATTTTTTTGTGCTTAGAAAACCGCTTCTTGATATGTATTTAACAAAACTTACACTACCTCAGCTTTTTTTCACTAAGTTTCTTTCAAAGAAAGAGTTACCTTGGGCTTTAAAAGGAGTTTGGGCTTTAAAAGGAGCTTTAAAAGTTGGTAATCACCTTTCAGAAGCTTTTGTCGGCACAATTTAAACTGAACATCTATAATTTTTTCATGTCAAACGATGTTCTAGAAAACTTTACACCCAGTTGCCTAACTGAACTCCAAGCTTGGTCTGATGATGTTTTTTACTTTTTCTGTGTAGCCATTACTGTGCAATGCTATTCCAAAGTCTAAAAACCCCATTAATTACAACACATAAACAGGACCTATTGCGTGCAATCACAGGTCGGACGTGCAGAAAAGAAGAGCACACTCACAGAGTGACGATGTCCGCATTAGCCGCCTCCACTGCTATGCTCAGGGGAGTTTTCTCATCGATGTCGGCGGCGTTCTGATTGGCTCCTCGTTTCAAGAATAAACAAACTTGCCTGTGACAAAAAAACAAAAAAACAAAAGTTAGTTTAAAAGTCCCTTTTCTGGGTGTAAAATCTGGCTGGCGGGGCAGGATGGGTGACCGACCCCGTGTGTCCCAGCATGGTGGCGTGGTGCAGCGGTCCTCGACCCTGAGCGTCCTGCTGGTTCACGTTTGCCGCGTTTTGGAGCAGGAACTCACAGGTGACCAGCGAGCCCTGCGGGTGAGCATCACGCATTGGTTCAAAATCACAAATCGTCTTAAAAACGTCTTAAAATCGTCTTTTTTCCACGTACGACCACGCGGCGGCCACACTGACCCCGTGCACCGCCATTATCAGCGGCGTCCGTTTCTCCTCCTCCGTGTTGACCCAGTTGACCTCGGCTCCGTGGGCCAGCGCCTCGGCCATGTCCGGCAGGCTGCGGGCGCAGGAGGCCCAGTACAGCTGGAGGCCCGGGCTGTACTCCTTGGGCTCGTAGAAAACCATCTCCTTGCATGGCGACGGGGGGGCCAGCTTGGTGGGCATGGCTGGGGGCTCAGCAGCTTCTGGACGGTCAGACAAACGTTGGTTTCGAATTCATTAGATTTACAAGCTACAGCAAAATTAAGCCATTTTATCTATGCGTACATAAATGTCTCAATGAGCTGTTCAGATATAAATGTCTTATGGAGATTCAACCAATTTCAGACGCCTCCAAAGGCAGGACTGGGATAACCGAGGGGCATCTCACCTGCATCTGCCAGGCTGTTATTGGAGGGGGCGTTGGCCAGCATCTCCCTGCTCCCGTCAGCGCTGTTCTGGATGCCGCTGTCTGCGCTTTTCACTGTAAAGCAAACAGTCCCACTCACTGAAAGATTTGGACGGTTTTGCTCACCGGTGGCATGAAAAGAAAAGGAGCGCCCACTTATGAATGAGTTTGCGGTTGTTCTGCCGGTAAAAGAGCCTCAACGACCCGCCTATAAATGCTTTCTCGAATGTCTTTGCTGTCGAGCTTTAAGATTCAGCCTTCTTTTTGAAGCGTTTCGGGCTTCTGCGGCTTCGTTTGGAGCGGCGGGCGGTCATCCTAATGTTTGCTTTACACCGGGCCGTAGCAACGGGCAGAAAACGGAAAGAGACCTGGATAACAGATACCCTCCCCCTTTATCTCAGTGAAATCAAATCAAACGAGGAGGGGGGAGGATGGAAAGCAAAGCCCAACACTCTGCTTTGAGTACTTACTGCTCCTCAGCTTGTAGGAGGTGTCAAAGTAGGAGAAGAGCGAGTCAAGCTCGTCGGGACAGAAGAGCGAGTCGCGGCGGGCCTCCGCGCCGCCGGCAGAAGCTACGCGAGGGGATGGCGGGAGTTTGGAGGGTGTCAATCGAGAGGTGAGGTAGGGATGGATGGGGAGGGGGGTTAGGGTCGGCAATGTGAACGGGGGAGTTAGTCCAGAAAGCACAGAGCAGCCAGGGAGGGCATGAGAAGAATGATAGAAAAGAGGGGACAAAGAGAAAAAGCAGGGTGAAAGCACAGATAATTACACTACCGGCTCAGCTGACACTGGAAGAGACAGACTACAAAAAGCAATGCGGGGCCAAGAAGCTCGGACATGTGCTGTTCACAGA